TTGACTGATGCTGCTTTAGTGTCCGGTAAGCCCATGTGGGCTGGGCACCTTAGAATGCTGCAGGACAATTAAATAAATAAATAAATCAGTCTGAACCAGCGCAATGGTGTAGGACATCTGCATAATGTAATAATCAGTGAAATTTACTGGTGCTGTTTCACATTAACCATGTGTCCCAATAGGCTTAAAGCAATTTTGCTGACCTGGGCATTGTTGTTGTACCAACATATTGTTTAAAACACTGAGCTGATTTAGTGATCTGCATGGCTTGTTGCGATAATCTGAACATTAGTGTGTAGGTGTGTGTGTTTTCTGAGGAGGGACCTTAAGTGCAGCATCTTCAACTCAACACGTTGGCGCCCCCAAACGGTGCCAAATGGCAACTGCTTGACATAAAAACCCAGAAATCATGCACTCTAAACCCCCACACTCCTCCAGCCCTGCAATTCTTAAGCAGAATTTCATGAAAGCAAACAGAAGAAATCTACCGCATCTTAAAAATCCCTCATGATCTATAATAACCCTGCCATCATGTGACCTAAGAATGGATAACAGGTGGTTGTGGATGGGGGAGGACAGTCACCTCTGGCTGTGAAGAATGGACTTCGGCAGTGTGTGCACTTGATCTTTCACCCACCATCTATCTGACCCCTGCCCAGTCGATATTGAGCTGAGGTCGCGTAAAGACCATACTCACCTGAGGACATCTGAGCCATCTCCATGACAGATGAGCAAACTCCATGCGCTGACGAAGACCATTGGATGAGATTGACAGTCACCGTTACCAAGGTCAGGGATGAATTTTCCTATCCAGCTTTCTGATGTTTCAACCACATGTCACAGTCTTTATTCAGTGAATGGCTCAGCACCTGGAATAATTACCAGAGAGGCAAGTTAGTGGGCCTTAGACATTAGATTCATCATGATATGTAATTAATGGAGGAATATGAAGTGATGTTACCTACAGTAGTGAATATGGTACAGTATAGTGTATGTGAAGCATTTTGAGATCAGTGGGATAGGAGCTACATAAATACACTTGGTTTAATCTCAACTTTGAAGAGGATTTTCTCATTAGGTTGGAGAAGTGTCAGCAGCTGGCTGAGGTTTATGTGTTCTCTAGCCTCGGTCTGTTGCTGAAGGGCTTCCTGTTTGTTGTCTTGAGGCAGAGCAGTAAAAAAGTACTGCTTAACCGGCCCCTCCCTACCACAGAGCCATTTTTGCCTTTGGGGGGGGGGGGGAGAGAGCAGGTAAACAGTAGTGTACAGAAGTGGTACACACTACATACATTCCTATAGCTAGGATATTTGAATCAACATCTGTAATAAACATTGTGGTTTGGTTATTTTAGAAATAATGCTCGGTTATGTCTTATGCTCAGACCATTTGTTTGGTGCATGATTTAACCATATAACCATTCAAGAACTGATAGAGATACCAAACTATACCAAAGTACCACAATGTGAAAATGTTTATATCACTACAATGAAATGGCTGCTATGGGGACTAAGATCATCACACATGAATACAATTGGGCTCATTGAAAAGGGGCACCACCAAGGGGGTATACGGTATACAATTTCTGACAGTAGAATATGAGACAGATAATCTGTTAAAAAAAACAAAATCTGGCTACCTATGGCATTTGCAAAAATCCACCGGGTCTGAATGAAAACAACCAATCAGAGCCAAGAAAGATAGTTGCTTGTTGAGTCTCATTCCTAGGGCTTCAAATACAGATGCTTTGAGACCCTGGGAACTATCTTCATGTTTCCGAGTGCCTTTGTATCTTTCTCAGCTCTGATTGGTTGTTTTTGTTCAGGCCCTGTGGATTCTTAGAAATACCATTAGCAGCATTAGAACGAGTCGGAGGAACTTTATTTTTTCACAGATTATCTGTCCCATGTACTACTGTCAGGAAACAGGGATTTCAGCAATCATGACAAAAAGTTATTTTTTATTAAAGTTACCTACTGCAGCTTTAAATCAATAATGGATATTTTTCTATAATAGTTCATGTGAAAGAAAATAACTATAAATGCAAAAAGAGTCTCAGCTTTCTAGTCATACCTAATTTATGCATCTGCAATACTGTTTAGGTATCCAATATACAGAAATATTCAAATACACCATTGTTAGAATAAAGGCAAAAGTAACACATTTATACTGCATGCAAAAAAATGCATTGGTTTTTGCCCAAAGAGTGTAACACATGTATAAAGTGAGACTTGTGGGGACCCATAGAAACCATTTTCACTCAGATATCTTGAGAGGTCAGAGGACCCCTTTTTCCTTGCCAAAATTTTGCTGAACTTTGGTTTTTATCCTTCTTCCTGACAAGCTTGGCCTAGCACAATGGATGCTTCAGGTCATTGAGTTTCAGTATATTCACTCCAGCTTTAAAACTGAGCCCGCTACAGCCCCTGAAAGACAGTAATGTGGTATGAGGATGTAGGTGTCCTAGTGGAGTTTGTGAACAGGTAGGCTATTCAGTGGCTCACTGTGGAGGAAACCTTCCTGTTTGCACCCAAGGGACTTTAGTATGTAGCTTATATTTTAGCATAGGTCTGTTGTGTGTTTGTGTGTGTGTGTGTGTGTGTGTGTGTGTGTGTGTGTGTGTGTGTGTGTGTGTGTGTGTGTGTGTGTGTGTGTGTGTGAATGGCCAGATGGGGCAAGCACAGCCTCAGGACCCAGAGACGGAGTGGGCTTATCGAGGATCTATTCTTTCCCACACTCTCGTGCTCCGACCCAGACCAGGCCTGCTCTGATTTCCCTCGAGTGAATCCGCAGCAGCTCTGATATTCTCCAGCAAACTTTATCTCTCCAGCAAACTTAATGGTCAGAAATCAAGGTCTGTTGGCTCAGCTGATCACTCGAAGGAAGCCGGTGTGGTTGAGAGGCAGAGCGGGCTTTGGCCAATCGATAACCCACTCAGCATCACCGTGATAGCATTCATTGACAGACAGGCGGGGGATAAACGTGCTGCCTTTATTTGGGATAAGCACAGCATGTTGAAGTCATTTTGTAAATTATCTTATCGATACATGCTTCACCTTTTATCAGAGAGCTGATTTACCACCTCACTTTTAAAGTAATTTATGAAACAATGGGTCCTCGATTGGGGCAGACAAAAGCAGACTTTGAACTTTTATTGTTGAATTTGCTGGGTGAAAAACTATTTTCAATTGCATATTTTATCCCCTGGAGCTAGATAGCTAACATTATCTCCATCTCTGGCTGACCTTAATGTTTCAAGTTTACTCGCTTTAACACGAGAACCATATCCTGGTGACTACATACATATCATAAAAAGCTGCATATGTACGTCCCGGGCAAAAACTCCTCACCAGTTTTTGACCCATGTAGAAAAAACAGAAAATAAAACAGCCTCGTTCTTGTATTGGAGTGTAGAGATGTAGGCCTAGTATTTACTTGTAGTAGCCGTAGCCATTGCTTTGTCACATCTGCTTGCTGGTTTGAAGGTGGTCATTTTCCCATGGCACTCAGCAGGTAATAAGTAATGGTTTCGGATTATATTTTTACACTGTTTAACACTGTTTACATCATGTCATTCAGACCGTTATTACGAGAAACCAAGTGAGAAAAATGGTTCACGTTTATGTTGGAATTCCTAATTGCAGATATTGGTCATTTCTGTCCCTTGGCAGAAAGAACTACAGAAGCATCAACAAGGTAGTGGCTTTGGATTACGATGTTAGCTATTCCATCTTGGAATAACATGTGAATGCTGCCATGTCAGAATAGCAGACATTTTCCTGTTCTTACTCTTCTGCCGACGTTTGCAAATGTAGCAGTTAATCTAGAGTACATTCGCCCTTTCCAAATGGTATACAAACTAACTGAACATCACTCCTGTCTGTATTTGAAAACCCCTTTTTATAGAATTAAATAACTAATACTAACTAAAACCAAACTGATATGAACTACTTAAAATGCCATCTTTATTTGATGTGTGTTTAGATTTTTTTGTTTGGCCCATCTGTTAACATGGAGGCAATGGGCTTTATTACCAATACTGAAGTTATCCACCAGGGGGCAACTGAGATATTGTGGCTTTACTTTTGGACAGTTCTCATGTTGTCCATCTTTCTATATATATCGATGAAACAAACCTATGAATATTATATTCTATTTCTGCCAATAGATCCTCCTAAATGTTACACACTGGACCTTTAAAGCTGTATGGGTCCTCCCAAATGTTGATTGTTATAAACAGACAGATGACTTAAATTGCTAAGAGTAACACCATGTGGGCAGTTTGAAAAATGGAAGAAATTTGTTTTGAATGTCAAGTTCGCAGAATATATTGTACAGGTCTACCACCATGTCTGTCAACACTGGAAGATGCCCACCCAGAAGCCTGAGGGTTATGCAGCTTCCACAAATATGTCCAAAAACAGTTTTATTGTCTTGTGAAAAAATACTCACAGTAACCACAGTACGTTGTAGTTCATGAGCCCTTACACTAAAAGTGAGCAGAATTTTCAGTTTGACTCTAAGATTATTTCTTTGTTGCTCTATTGACTCAAGTATTAAAAACTTCAGCAGTCGTAACTAATCACTTTTCATGTCGGTCGAATCACGAAATGCTCCAGGAATTCATCTCCCCACTGTCACCCGCACTGCAGCTGCTGCAAACAGCTGTGGTCAAATTTTCTCATGGGCATCATTTAATTGTTATCATGCAAAGCCCCCCCCGTCTCCCCGAGGAGAGAGCGGGTTTCTATGATAACAATTAATTTGTCGCTCCCTGCAACAAAGTCACTTCAGTGTCCTCAAGTGCCAGCTGCGTCATTGCTGCAGAATAGCTGTTTGTTTTTATGTTGATGGCATGCGACTGCTCAGCTGCAGAAATGGCGGTGGTGAGCCACAGGTTTCATCTAGAGGGTTGAGAAATGGCAGTTGGAAGTCATTTTCTTACCAAGGAATTTAAATTTTCCCTTTTTCGTCAAGGATAAAAACAAGCAGAAGGCATTGAGTTATATCAAAATCTTTATTTGCTTTGTGTCACACATTTGTAAAAACAAAAAATAAAAACGTAAGGAAATAAAATTTCAACAATAAATAAATCAGCATAAATAGTTGTATGTCAAGCAAAAACATAAAAGTGTGTGCATTTCAACAGTGGCATTCTTACACAGACTGCTATAGTACTGTACATATGTTTACATTTTCTATCCCCTAACTTCCATAACTCCTGTTCTTTACTACATTCTCTCCCCTTCCTGTCTCCAAGCTGTTAATCATTTCCACTCCCACTGCTCTTCCCCTCTTCGCTGTCATTTCCCAATGCTCTCCAGTTCAGGAGTTCGGTGAAAGCTCTGCTCTCAGCATTCTTAGGCTTGTGTGTGCAGTCTTCATGTCACCTCCGGGACCCCGGCCCCGGATAACTTTCCACCCCAGTCGGGCCTCCCCCTCTTGTACTTTCACTCTGCCTTTCTTTTTCTGTCGATGCACTCGATCTTGCGGCTCTCCTCTTTGTTTATCCTGAAAAGAGGGAGGAAGAAAAACTGGGATTAGGCCAGATGACTAATACGAAACATCTGGAGGTTTTGTGCAACAAGTCACATGTTAATGTGTGATGAGATTAGTTGAGCCAACGTTTTGTAATAAAACCCTTCTTATTTGCAGAAAGATTTCTGTCTCATTGACTTTGTGTGCATGGTGCAGAGTAAACTGGGATGTTTTGCCAGGCAGTTTTGGCTCTACAAAATACATTCTGATGCTAAATCTTGGGGCCAAATCAAACATTTTTAAGTGGTGTGATCCTCTGTCCCGACTCTCCTGAAAGCAGTGCAAAAATCCAACTGTTGCTGGATGCTCAGATGCTTGGACTTGTGTGCAGATTTAAGGCCAGATGACCTAAAGTGGGAGCTGATGTGTAGCTTTTAAAAATTGCACTTCAGTTTACCAAGTTATCAGCACAAAAGAGCTTGAAAACAGCAGTCGAGGCCAACCACATCATCCCAGATGTTATATCTGAAGGTGAAGATTTAGGTGGATCATGGATCATTACCTTTCCCAGCATCTCAAGAAAGCCTTGGCCATCTTTCCCTCAGTGTTCATGCAGATATCCTCAGTGGAGTTGTTTGCCTTGTCCAGGGTTACACTAAAAAATACAAAACAAGAAATCCATTAGAATCCGAGACAAGCACGACTGATGAGATTCTAAATGTTATAAAGCAGCAGATATTCCGTGTTTTTATTTAAACTTACAACAATTCAGTTTTGTCACATCCAGGCCGCCTTTCATAGACTTGGAAAGCAGATATATTGCCTCTGATGAACTTGACTGTGGTGTGACATCTGCAGCGTCCAGGAAAGTCGTGAGCTGCAGCAATAAGTATATAAAGTATTTTTAGTTAAGTTAAAACAAAGCAGTTAGGTGCATAGCCTCAGCAACAGGAACGAGTCACACATATTTTAAACAACACTAAACTGTAGGTATACTACAAGAATGAGAGCATTACAGTATGATTGAATAATGCATCATCAGTTTTTAATGTTCACCATCATATGCCACTTTAACCATTACAAAACTGTATTTTTACTCACCTTGGTGGAGCTGAATGCAAACTGCAGCCACAACAGCCAACAGGAGAGTGCAGCTTTTCTGTGACAAGGCCATTTTTTCCTTTGAGAGACAAAAAAAACGTCCAGAGATCCCTCGGAGGAGAAAGTGAGAGCTCGAGCAGGTTGAGAGGAGAGGAGTGAAGAGCCACTGCGAGGCTCTTTCCCTTTTATAGCCAGCACTGAGTGGGTTTTCCCAGAATCCATGCTTTTTCCCGTCAAGCCAAACCTGCAACAGGCTCTGGAATTTCCACACTAACTCTGGAGACTCGCACTGGAATGTGCTCAGAACTCCTTTCACAGATAAGGCAGGGGGGAAATGATTCATTTGATGTAATTCTGAGTATAAACAAAGAAAACTGGACAACCCACAGAGATGATTAATACATTACGGCACTCTTTACCCAGTCATGTCTAGGCAAACCGGACAAATAAGCTGTATTGGCTGTGAGGAATGGGAACAGTTGCATCATGCTAACTTTGATAAAACTTCTGACCAAAGGCTTTAATTCAATTCAATTAAATTCAGTTCAATTTTATTTGTATAGCGCCAATTCATAACAGAAGTTATCTCAGGACACTTTTCAAATAGAGCAGGTCTAGACCGAACTCTTTATAACATTATTTACAGAGACCCAACAGTACCACCATGAGCAAGCACTTGGCGACAAGGGCAAGGAAAAACTGCCTGTTAAAAGGCAGAAACCTAGGACAGATCCTCCGGCTCTAGGTGGGTGGTCGTCTTTCTCAACCAGCATTTGCTTTAGGTGTTGCCAAGCAAGACGAGGTGGGGGGTCTGCTTTTGAACAGCGTGATGTTGTGCAATGCTGATTAACAAGGCTGTTACTAAATAAACTGAGCTGGAAGAATTTATTTACTCTCTGTATGTAGATGTTCATATGACTAGGCTTTATTAGTTTCTCCATCTGAATAATGAATACTGCATATGAATTTATTGAGACTGACTGAAAACAGAGGGTGAAGTGCTTCTGTAATATCTGAACCTAACATATGATGACACACTGAGCCATCAACAAACAGAATACCACCACCTGTTTCATGGAACGACTGCAGTGAAACACTTAGACTGTGGATAATGGTTCAACAGTGAGCAATGAATCAGCTCCCGTTTCCGGTACAAGTGTTTGTGCATAGCACACATGCTGTGGCAAGTATCATCCCAGTCATGACTGAACAACTAACAACGTGTGAAGAGTTCACTTTCCCATACCTTGCACAATAGATACATTTTACAGAAGATAAATGTCTGTCACTCAGCGATCGTTTATCCAGGAGCTGGTTTTTCAGCATTTTACAGCCTGAAATCATTTCAAGTAAAGAAGTTGCAACATGCAAAATGTACTGTACTTTAAATGAAAAGAAACCAAAACATCCACACAGATTTTCAATTGCAAACTGATCAGTTAGCAAACATTAGGTGATAGAAGACATATTTTCAAATGGTGCGACACTTATAAAGGCATTACATGATACCATGCTTACTTTTACATTTTATTCAAGTTTGAAAGGAAACCAAAAACTGACAACAGGTGTATGACCAGATGTCAGGCCTACATCTGTCTAAAAAATGTCTAGCTTATCAAGGTTGTTCCTTTGTTAATTCATTCATTACACACTAGAGCCCACACTTTTCTTAATCCAGCTGCTGCCTGCTCCCAGTGGATTTCTGACCATTACCACCTGCACCCGCTGTGTGTGTGTCCTCTCCCACCTGGTCCTGCAAGCATTCCGACCATTCACTCCCACATAGTAGAGATTTTGTTTCTTTTCCTGTCCTACAGATGAAAAGATGTTTACTGTGTCAGTAACAATTGCTGTTTTGTAAAAAATATTTTTCCTTTAAACTTCATTTGTTGTCCCCATCCTTCTGATGGACGCAACATAAACCCCGGAGTAGCAGTGGTTTTAACCGCAAAAATTTGTGTTGGGTTACACAGGACCAAGATCCCAATCCCAATGCAGCCCTGTCTTACACACATCGTTTGTCAGACAGTGCATGTGATAAGTGACAGGTGATAAGATCAGCAGCATTAGTGTTGATGATCACAGTAAGGAGAAAGTATAACTGCAGATAACTAAGTACTGCATATATGTTTCTGTTCAAGAGCTGTGATGTAAAATTATGGGAGACCTAGGAAGCCACAAAAGATCCAAAGAAGAAATAAGTTTATACATCTTTCCTTTCAGTTACTGGTCTCCAACTTGTGTCAATAAAATCTGGGGGGAGAAAAAAAGCACAACCAAGGCATAAAGAATTCATTCACTCTCCCTTACACTCACAGCAGTGTCTTAGGCCAGCTGGGACAGTGGACCAACATCACTTTTGTGACACTTAATTTTACATTATCTCTAGATACCACTTTTTCCCTCTTTCTGTTAGGAGGTGATAAAGAAGGCTATAGCAAGAGATATCCCTACCACTGATGCAGTAAGTCTCAAGTTCCAGGTGTGTGTGTGTGTGTGTGTGTGTGTGTGTGTGTGTGTGTGTGTGTGTGTGTGTATGTTTGTTTTCATCAGCACAGATTATGAGTGGAAAGTAGAGCGATGAGGCTGGTGGAGCTTGCCATTCCTATAAGCGGTGGAGCGATGACAAAGCTGATTAGTGGGTTTATTGGAATGGTGGAGTGCTGGAGCTGGTGGGGTGATGGCTGTAAGATAGAACAGAATATTATCTGAAATTAGTCAGAAAATCATTGTCTATCAAGTGCCAAAGCACAAACAAGGCAGCAAGTTTTTCTCAAATTTCCTGAAGCAGTATGTTAGACTATTAATGGTATGAAAAGCATATGTACAATCAATGAAACATGAGGGACTAGAAAAACAGGCAGTACAGACCCTCCATACCTACTGAAGCTGAAACCACGCTATAGGTGGTAGAACATTTGTAGCAGAGGTCAGAAGTTCTTCCATGGCAACGATCAAGGTGTTTTGTGGGGGCATGCTTGAAGATGTTGCTTGGCTTTGCTGGCCCTTTTTGTCCGGATTATACTTCCAAGATGCCCATCATCGGACAGCACTTTTTTCAGCCTCAGTCAGTTTTTGGGGGATAATTTGTACATCACAGGATGAGGGAAGCCTTCCCTCCCTAAGAGCCTCTCTCTCCAGCACACCCATGGCATTCGGGAGATCATGAAGAAGGCACAGATCAGAACAGAGTCTGGATTTGCCAGAATACATTGAGGGCGCGAGAAAGCAGGACTGTCAACATTGTGCTTAAATGCACTTTGGCATTTATTACAAATGTTGGTATTTCTGATTACTTTACTCACAATGTAGTCTTGCGACAGTAGAGAGAGAACAGTCTTGGTTTTTGTGAGGTCAGGCGCAGCTTTGCACTCCATCAGCTCCCCCACTCTGAGGCAAGGACCAGGGAATGTCTCCTTCATGCCCAGGAAGTCTGCCAAAAGGCTGTTGTCATTTTCCTGATAGTTTTCTGAAAATGCACATCTTATTTTGATTTCAGTGCCTGGTGGAACTCCACTGGAGTTGGGACTGAATTCCTCTGTTTTGTGCAGCTCAAAAGGTAGATGTTGCCATCACAATTCCTGTTTGCACAGGTTTCCGGCTACCCATTCATCTAATCTTCAGCCCATGGAAGAGTTGGATCATGTCCTCGAGGAGCTTGATTGCCTTTTGGTACACAGTGGTCCACCTGCTCCAGAAACCATGCTATAAGGTAAGAGGGGGGTTGTTCTTCCTGTTCCACCATGTATTTCAGGCCTGCACTCGTGGCCTTGCTGAAGACATTCATCTTGTCGAGATGACTGGGCTGAAGGGTTTTAAGCGATACATTTGGTATTTATTATTTGCTCATCAAATTCAAAGAATCTGCAACCAAGTACTACATGTGTCAAATGGTTTTAAGTACTACACAGTTCACTTGATAGATCTGAAAATACCAACAAATTTAAGCTGAGGGTTTGCAGTTAAGTCCATAGTCATTATTTAATTTCAAGATTCAATGTACTGAAATACAGAGGCAAAATAACAGATAATGGAATTCATGCCAATGTCCAAATATGTATGGACCTAACTGCAGGTGTATACTCTCACTTGTGTATTAACCTTAACACTTTTCATCTCTCTTTTTTTTTTCTTTTTCTGGCAGTGGAATGCCCTCACCCAAAAATTCAAGTAACTGTAGTGTTACTTACGACATCAAGTTTGAATGTTTTTTGCTATCATTGTATGGGCATGTATGAGTTGATACAAGCTTATTATATTGGGTTTTCACCTGCGAACAGAGAAAGATGGGTCATCAAATTGTTGGCCTGGACACTTTGAAGGACAGTAAATGCCAGTTGCATAACAATATTAATTGCATAAGAGTAATCAGACCTTTGCAGGCTGCATTCTGGCTCTCAAACCAAAACAAGTCACGGCAAATCCTCATGATTCAGAAGAAGTCAGTTGGCTCATTCAGTCTGCATCCTGCAGTCCAACAGAGTGTGTGATTGCTGCAAAAACACAAAATGAAATGACAAAGCTATTATTTTGCAGTGTGACATATTGCCTCCTCATTAGGCGTCTCTCTCTGCTTTAATTATTTGGCTCTCTCGTCTCTACTGTTGTTGCAGTTTCTTGTTGATGATAGAATGCAATGAAAGTCATACTGCAATTTACTTGAGGCCTCTTTTTTATTAACAACTTTATCTCAAAGCCAATATGATTGTACAGTGCATAAAGGCCAGCAGTTCCTCAGATCACATTTCAATTTTATGTGTCTATTGCAAACGTCACAAACTCCCCATGGGAAGAACTGAGTGTGAAGAGCTGTTCTGACTGTAAAGTACTCTGAAACCTGAACACAAAAACAAGATTGTAATTGTGGGATTTACTAACTGTATTGAAACAGATCATTTTGATAAGGTATTTTCTGAGTAAAATGAAATGATAACCTTGACCTCCTCAGTGATTTACAGTGTTTCCAACATTATTTACAATAAGAAAGTGATGTAATTTTCAACGGCTTACCAAGCACTGACTTATTTATTTATTCAGTAAACATAGAGGCAAGCCTGAAGGCAAGTAAGTCTACACTGCCTGCTTCCTGATAGACCTGGAACAAACCAAGTTATTAAAAAAGAAAGAAAAAAAACAAAATGTCCAGAACTAGGCCTAATGCCATTTTAAC